CCTAATATCACACGGTACAGGTATGATGAATTAAAATTTTAATCCCTTCCGAGTAATGTAACTTCTTGTTTATTTCTAATAATTAATTTTTCTTATTATATATATAAACCTATTGACATTTATTTAATAGTTTTATCTTTTTTAATTAAAGAGGCACATGATTTATTTACCTTTTTAGTTTTTCAACAAAACAACTACTTTTGGTACATGAGATTATAATTTTGTTCATAGTCTAAGCGACTTTATGTTAGTTTATGGAACCTTAAGATGATAAATCATAGTGTAGAGAAACTATTTACTAATTTGATAGAGACTTGAACTTAATCTATGATAAAGTAAGTCCTTGTTTACCCATAGCTGTACATCCCATATGCTTGGAGGTCTATGTAGACGCCCATTAGATAGTTGAAACTCTTTGAATATGGGATATGCCTAGGGCAAGTCTCTTAAGAAATATAAGGCAGGTATTTAGAAAAGAAATTTGGTCTTTGATGATGCAGTTTTAGCTAGCAAGTGTATGGACTCATATTTTGAGGAATCCATAATATGCCACGAAGGAGGGCAGACTAATGAGGGCGGATCAAACAGGACTGGCAGACTTCTAGGCTAAATACTATCTTTTGAATAAGGAGTGCATATGTCACGTTAGGCAAATCCTACATCCCTATGGAGAAGGAAAATGAAGAGTTTTAAGGATAACACAAATATCACTTGGTAGCTAGGCACGCTTTTGGGCTCGATAATAGCATAGCCTAAGAGACAAATACATGGCATCGGTTGGGCCAAAACATATTATGCATGGACTTGGATCGTGACAATCTCAAATATTTTATTAATTTTTGGTGTGTATTAACTCAATTTGGCGAATTCTCGCATTATCTTTTTTTCTTATGCATTACAACTCGAAAGAAAGTAAGAGAGTTGTGAAAATAAGAACCCACGAAGGGCAATAAGCCGTATTTGTGAACACGATAACCTTCTTTTCTCTGCCATTTAAACACCAATGAGTTTACTAGCTCAATCAAACTCCATACAAGTTCTTAATAATTCATATTAGATGACTTTTTCGTTGTTCTTGGAAGCTAATCATGTACACCAAGTTGAACTACACCAGCACGTTAGACTAAAATGTTATTGATAGGAAGAATGCAATAACCGATGTGAATTATTACCTAACAATTTGACATTATATGTGAAACTTTAAATAAGTAGTGTTCAGACTTAACTGCTATGTGTGACTACAAATGAAAAAGTTAAAGAACATAGAATGTTTGGAAACAGAGATTATGGAAATGAATTTCAAGATTTTGCAAGAAAAATAAATTAGAGAAACCTCCTAGTGTTTCTCCTTTTCAATAATTTACTGATGATTTTGGAATGGAGAGACCATCTACTCCCACTAACTTGAGAACTTTACAGAAATCAACAGTTTTTATGCAAACTGGATTCTGGTAATGTGAATTTCCATTCCCTTTAATCACTGTGTTTAGCTGCTAGCTTATTGTGTACTTTGGCTGTATCACACTAAAATAATTATTTTCCTAAAAAGAAGTTAAGAAGCAATTCTGTTGAATTAAGGGGCACACATGCCCATACATTAATTTATAGACTGCTATTTTTAGAAAACCCAGTCAATATAACGGGTTTATTTTCAGAAAAACAATTTTAAATTAAATATAATGATAAATATGACTACGCGAATTAGAAAAAGATCAATTTGTCCTCCAAATAATGAAACTATCTTTGGATATATATGGAATATTGAATATTTAAAGGACTGAATAACAATAAGTAGAAGCAAATGATGAAGGAAAATGTCAAATACAAAAGATTTGAATTTCATAGCTATTCAAAAACAACTATGGAGGATCTTTTTCTTTTCCTTACCATTTTACCTCTTGAATCGTTTTATTTTTGATTAAATATTTTTACATAATATTAAACAAAACAAGTAATTCGTGATATGACGTAACATTCTGTAGCTGCCCCGCCTCAGCAAAGGAACAGAGTGATGTCTGTTTGCTGACATAACCAAACAATATAAATTATTTAAATGAATAAAATATACTAATAAAGTAAATGAACAACAAACCAACATAGTGCCTTTATAGGAGAAACCTAATGAATTTCAAAATAGGAAGAATCATCTTGTCTTGGCACGGCTAATGTTACGCGGCGCCTTTCTGAGATTTCTTACAAGGGCAACGTAAGGCTAAGCAATCGATGTCCCCTCCATACGCTAGATGAGATTGTCAATATCGTACGGGAAAACCAATGTCAAGAGCAATTGAGAGAACATAAAAGAGAATTGAGAATGAAAGAAAGCTTGATTGCATTACTGAAAGCTATTACAGAAAAGTAACAGAGTGTCGAGGGGGAGAGACACCAGTACAGAGAATTGTTTGCTTGCTTGATCCCCTAATAATGCTTAAAACAAATAAACCAAAGTTACAGGACTTGACCTAACTAAACTAGAGAGACATAATGAAAATACAGGAAGTAAAACTACTCAATATTTACAATGAAAATGACTTAGATTTCTACAGAGTAGAAGCAGGTCTGTTTGCAGTAACCTTGTCTTCAGCATAAGAGTCTGTGTGAGCGGTGTTGTTGGCATTTGCCTGTGGTTGGGCGCTGGTGAGGGCTATTGGTGAGGCGACATAGGCACATGCGCTTTTTTCACTTGGCGCGGCCAAGACCAGGGGGCCGTCCATGGCGCTAGGCGTTGGGAGGCTTTCTAGGACTCCATGGGGCGCGTCCAAGGGGTCATGGAGCATGGCTGGAAAGTCGCCCATGACATTCTCCCCCACCTGAGTTGGCGACGTCCTCGGCGCCTTACTTGCAAGTAATCATCGATCAGGCTCTTGTAGGCTTTGAGTCTTGTTCCCTCTCCCAAGTATTCTCCTCTGTATCACAACCCTACCATTTCACCAGGAACTCTTGGTGATCTTTCCTTGAAGCATGAATCACTCGATCATCGATAATAGCTTCTACACGCCTTTTTCCTTTTGAATTAGGGCCTCGAATACTGGGTATTGTGAGTTGGCTCCGCGAAGGATCCTCCATGTCTCCCCGAAAAGGTTTTAGAAGGCTGACATGGAAGATTGGATGAATCTTCTACCAGGCTGAGGTATCTGCTAGGTATGCAACTTTCCCAATGCGCTTCTCAATGGACAAGGGTCCAATGTTGCAAACAAGTATCGCTTGGGGATTTTCACCATCACTTTGTCTCCTACTTGGTATTCAACAAAGTGATGATTTTGATCAGCATGCTTGTTTATCCGCTTTTGGGATTTGACAAGATAGCTCCGCACTATCTCCAAATTTTGCTTCCATTCCTTCGAGAAACTAGTAGCTCGAGGAGATTTCGACGATTTGGGGCATTCAGAGTGTGTGGGAGTAGCGGTTGTTGTCCAATAAAAAATCAAAAGAGCTTCAGTTTGTACTAGAGTCTTTTGTGAATTGAAACATAGCTGAGCATCATCCACAAGGTTCACCCAATTCTTCTGCGATCCGATAACAAAATGGCGGAGGTATCCTCTAGCATGTCGTTCAACCGCTCCGTCTGGCCATCATATTACGGATGGAAACTTGAACTGCGGCTCAACTTGGACCCGAGGCACTTAAAGAGTTAAGTCCAAAAGTTGCTAGTGTAGCGAGAGTCGCGGTCACTAACGATATCTTTAGGAAGACCCCAATATTCGACAACATACGAGAAGAATAGTTGAGTTGTATCTTCTGCTAATATATATTTTGGGGTTGCTATAAATGTAGCATATTTGGAAAACTGAGCTACCACAACCAAGATAGTTGTAAGATCTCCATCCTTGGGCAATCCGGTGATGAAATCCCCTAATACGTTTTCCCAAGGTCTCATTGGAGGCAATGGCTCCAAAAGTCCCGCTTATGTCAAGCGGTCTGACATGTCTTTCTAGCATACTAAGCAAATCTTCACATACTGTGCAGCATCATCAGCCATTTAAGGCCAATAATAAGCACGACACAACAACACCATGGTGCGTTCTTCACCTGGGTGACTGGCCCACAAATTATTATGGCATTCCATCAGAAAAGTCCTTCGCATATTGCCTCCTTTAGGAACATAAAGTCGATTTCCTTTCACCTTCAGGAACCCATCCTCCACGTAGAACTGGCGAGTCTTGCCTTGTCCTACCAAATCGACTAAATACAGTGCAGCAGGATCCGTGGTGAGTAGATCTTGTATCTAGTCTTTCGTAGTGGTGTCCACTTCGTTTCCCCTTAGGGTGGCGAGTAGGCATACCGATGCTAGGTCAGCCCTCTGACTAAGCGCATCATCAACTTGGTTGGTCTTCCCACTTCGGTATTACAGGTTGAAGTGAAATTCCGCTAGGAGTTCCTACCACCTAGACTGTCGGTCATTCAGATTTGGGTGGGTCATCGAATGACTAACAGCTGTATTGTCTATCTTGACTATGAACGGGGTTCCCAGCAGATACTGCCTCCAAAGGCGTAAGTAGTAGACGACATCCAATAATTCTTTTTCATGGGAGGCATAGCGCCGTTCTGCATCATTCAATTTTTGGCTCTCGTACGCCACTGGATGCCCCTTTTGTAGAAAGACTCCATCCATAGCATAGTCAAATGCATCTGTTTGTACATTGAATGGCTTGGCCAAATCATGGAGGGCCAAGACAGGGCTCTAGACATAGCTTCTTTCAAAGGGTTGAAGGCCTCCACTCGCCTGGGACCCAATCCTAAGGCGTGGCTTTCTTTAGGAGTTCTATCAACAACACTGCAATGAGAGAGTTATTTTTCACAAACCGCCGATAAAAGTTGCATAGGCCAAGGAACGCCCTCAAAGCATGGATATCCTTAGGCGACGGCCAATCTGTGACAGCCTGAATCTTCTATTGGTCCATCTTGATCCGCCTTTCCTCAATGGCATGTCCAAGGAAGTTAATCTATTTTTGGGCGAAGGAGCACTTGGATAACTTCACATATGATTCGTGCTCCCGCAGTCAAGCTAGGACCTTCCGCAGGTGCTCCAGGTATTCCTCCAATGTTTTGCTATATACCACAATGTCGTCCAAGTAGACCACTATGAATTCATCAATATATTCTCGAATGACCTGGTTCATCAGGGTGCAAAATGTGGCTGGAGCATTAGTCAAGCTGAGTGGCATGACCAGGAAGTTGTACGACACATATCTTATCATATAGGTCGCCTTGTATTCATCTCCCTCAACAATTCGGACATGCCAGTAACTTGTCTTCAGGTTTATTTTAGTGAACACTGTAGCACCACCCTGTCTATCGAACAGGTCTGCCATTAGTGGAAAATGGTGCTTATACTTCACGGTGATTTTGTTTAGTGCCCGACAATACATACAGAGTCGTAAAGTTCCATCCTGTTTCTTTTGGAACAATACATGGGACCCATAAGGGGACTTGGAGGGCACAATGATCCCGTGTCTAGCATTTATGTCAAATCTCTCTGAAGCTCGGTGAGTTTGGGTCGTGAAATTCCTTAAGGCGCCTGGGCAGGTGGCTTCGCACTCGGCACTAACTCAATCTCATGGTCCACAGTGCACCTAGGCGGTAATCATTTTGGCATGTCATGTGGCATGATGTCTTCAAACTCCTTTAGTAGCTCCTTCATGGGAGCAGGAATGGGACCTGAAGAGCATTCAATATCTTCAATACAGATGGTAGCCTGGAACTTAGGTTCATGTCTTTTGACCCTCTTCTTCAACTGCAAGGCCGAGATGTTCTCCGCATCCATCTTTATGGTTGTGCATGGAATAATGCAAGGCTTGCCCTGTTGGCTTGCATCATCAGTAGCATGTCTACATAAGGTACATGAATGGTGTTGGTTTGCCTCATGAATTCCAATCCAACTATCAGCTCGAAGTCATCTATGATCACCACAGGCAAGTTGAATTTTCTTTCATAAGGACCAAGCTTCACTGGAACTGCTTTGGCTATTCCACCCACTAGCTGAGGTGGTGAGTTGATAGCCTTGACATAAAATCTACTCTTTCTCACAACTAGACCAAGGCGCTCTACCTAAGTTGAGGCTAAGTAGTTGTGAGTAACGCCCGTGTCTATCATTGCCCGAATGGGCGTGCCATTAACTTTCATTTCGACAAACATCAGGGTCTTCTCTTAGTTAAGAGGAAGCGCCTCATCCACCTTATTTTTCCCTTTCTTGATGGTTGGCATAGGTCCTTCTTCTTGCGGATACCGGTAATGGTCCCTGCTAAGGCCTCAAAAATAGAACAAGCAAGTGCATTGAAGGCACCTGTTAGTTATGTATGGTCAGCACCATCTATATCGTCAACCGTCCCATCATCAAAAGTTTGATGGGCATTCATTTGTTCCTGTGGGCATTCATTGTTCCAATGTGGCCTGCCGCAATGACGGCATCCTGAAGGGGGCTTCCTCCCCTGAACGTTGTTGAGAGACGAAGCACTATTGCCTGAGGAAGGAGTCTTAGATTTGGTTGCACTCCGATCCCCTCCACTTCTTCTTGGATACCATTGCTAGGGTGGACCCCTTTGTATCCTCCTCGGACAAGCGGTTGAGGCCTATCTTTCCGAGTTGTATCCTCCTCGGACAAGCGTTTGAGGCCTATCCTTCCTCTTGATAGTCCCCGAGGCATTTCGCTGCTTGGATTGCCTTGGGCAAAGTGTCTATCCTTTGTCTTTGTAGCTCCATATTGGCATAAGCTTTCAAACCTTCCAGGAATGTGAAAAATTTGTCTTTGTCCCCATATCTCGTATGTTCATCATGAGTGCGGAGAATTATCGCACGAAATCCCGCTCTCACTTGGTCTGGCGGAGCTCCCGCAACTGTCTCCCTACATTGTATTCAATGTTCTCGGGGAAGAACTGTAGGCATATAGCTACCTTCAGGTCTGTCAAAGTCTCAAGAGTATCTTCATCGGCCCTGATGGCTTCATTTTTCACCCGCCACCAGAGTTTAGCATCAACCTGAAGATACATGGCAGCAATTGCTACCCTTTTTGATTCTTCTAAGAGTTCTCCACTTTCTTGGCTTTCTGAGCCCCATTGTAGGGTTTTGGCTAAGAAATCTCCAGCTTTTGTGGCACAGGGGCGAGGTTCACAGCACCCCTGATGTGGTTTTTGCCTCCACCAAGCAGGCCTTGTGAGGCAAAGTTGACAACATTGAGTTGGCCCGTCAAGTTGTCTATGGTTTGTTGCATGGCAGTCACTCTATTTGCCTCTTGTTCCTTATAGTCTAAATCCTCGGTCCTCTCCTGTTGGTGGCCTTTGAATTTACCCAAAATTTTGCCAGCCTCTGTGGATGCCGTTTGCCAGTCTCCCTTAGAGTCGCTACTGATGTTCGCGATGTCACCTTCGGCCTGTCGCATCCTGCGGTCTAGGTCGTCCAACCTTTGTACTAGGCTAGTTCTTAGATCAGGCACTGTATTCATGATGGGTTGTAATACATTAACCGTCTCTTCAAGGGCCGCAATGTGGTCCCTATGATTTACCATGGTCAGCAATGGTGGTAATGACAATGTGTTCCCTCGTCTGATGTCGAGCCTAGGCTTTGATACCAATTGTTACGTGGCGCCTTCCTGAGATTCCTTGGAAGGGCGACGTAAGGCTAAGAAACCGATGTCTGTACAGTTACTATCCGCCAACTGGGTCCCCTCTGTATGCTAGACGAGATTGTCAGTGTCGTGCGTGAAAACCAATATCAAGAGAAATTGAGAGAACATAAAAGAGAATTGAGAATGAAAGAAAGAAAGCTTGATTGCATTACTGAAAGCTATTATAGTAAAGTAACACGGTGTCGAGGGGGAGAGACACACCAGTATAGAGAATTGTTTGCTTGCTTGAAAGTTTGATTGCTTGATCCCCCTAATAATGCTTAAAAAAAAATCAAAGTTACAGAACTTGACCTAACTAAGCTAGAGAGACATAATGGAAATACATGAAGCAAAACTACTCCATATTTACAATGGAAAGGACTCAGATTCCTACAAAGTAGAAGTAGGTTCGTTGGCATCAACCTTGCCTTTAGCATAAGAGTCTGCGCGTGCGACTGTTGGCATCTACATGTTATCGGGCGCTAGCGAGGGATATTCGTGGGGAGACATAGGCACAGGCGCTCTTGTCACTTGGCGCGGCCAAGTGATGTTTGTACTTCAATACCACACAAGAGGGAGGGGGGGAGTAATTTATGTGGTGTCCAATTTTTCACGTGCATAGATTATAGAAGAACCTGATTCTTCTATGTGTTCCCTATATTACTGTTGCGGAATAATAAATGTGAAAAGTAAAGAACGCAAGTATTTTTACGTGAAAAATACCTGGCTCAAAATGTGATTAAACTACGACCTACTACCCAGTAGTAATTTTCCCAACACGTCACTAAATCACTGAACCAAAAGCAGCATTTACAAAACTCTTTGTAAACCTAAGGATTACCTCTAACCCTTTGTTCCAACCAGCCTCTGGTCGTTGCAACAACTTCAAGTTAAATCTAACTTGAATACAACACTCAGAGTACCTAGTACAGTTGCTTCTAGATAAATCTGAAAGATACAACTCAAAAGCCCCACAATAATGAAACTAGAATAAAAGACAGACACCTGGAATTGCTTCTTCTATCTGGTACATGTAGCTTCAGGTTCGCACACTTGAATCACACAAGAATCGCTAGCAAAATGCCTTGTTAGTTTGCTCTCAACTCACGTTTAACTTCAGCGTTTGTGCGTCCCTGTAAAATGAGAACATCCTGGAGTATAAAGAGTTAGTAGACTAGGAAATACTGAGTTCTAATGTTATACTCTTCCAGGGTGGAAGAGTTCTATTTATCTTCAACTTCTAACTCCTCTTTTATCTAGGATAGAGTTCTCTTCTAGTATGGAGTCCTTCTCCTTATCACTTATGAAACCTTTTCGTTCAGGAGATATCAGATACAATCACTTAAGCTTATCTCCTTCACCTGCATGCCTTGTGCTTAAATCTGTCCCTGTCTGTGCACACTGTGTATGGACCTGGTTCATGAGTTACTTTGTCAATCATCAAAACAAACTTCACTTAAGCCAACACCAAGACCACAGGACCGTCCATGGCGCTAGACATTAGGAGGCTTGCCAGGTCGCCATGGGGCGCGTCCAAGGGGTCATGGGGCATGACTGGAAAGCCACCCATGACACTAAGCATATTTTTCGCTATGAATTGGATCATGACAAACAACAAGAGGTACACCTTCTTCTTTTTTTGAAAATGAAAAGAATTCCGTCATTTTCTTTGTTATAATAAGCCAAACGGAAAATCAAGATAAGAAATAAATTGTTAGTCCAAGAGAGATGTCAAACCTCTTTATGGTCCATCATATATTTTTTACCCTCTTGGGATTTCTTTAATAATGAATTTACTAATAGTGAATTATCAAACAGCTCAAGAAAAATGGCGCAGTCAATTTGATGTTTGTTATAAATAGAGTTCTATTTATGGTGAATGTTTATATTTAGAGAGATTCTAGGGTTTATTACTTGGTGGCTAAGTCACCATCTCCCTATAAATAGAGGGTTCTATTCCATTGTAATTCATCCCAAAAAGTTCAATAAGAATTCCCTCTCTCTCTAAAATCTATTTAGATGCAATGGGTCTTGGAGATGCCATTAAAGACAGAAATAAAGCATCCAACCAAGACTGTGCTAAGGCCTTGATTTTCTTGCGCCATCACCTTGATGAAGGGTTGAAAATTGAATATCTCACAGTCAAAGATCCACTTATTTTGTGGAATGGCTTAAAAGAAAGATATGACAACTTAAAGTTGGTCACTCTTCCACAAGCATGATATGATTGGGCTCATCTGAGGCTCCAAGACTTTAAGTCTATTTCTGAATATAATTCTGCGATGTTCAGAATTACTTCTAAATTGAAACTCTGTTGAGATACTATCACTGATTATGATATGCTTGAAAAAACGTTGACAACGTTTCATGCCTCCAATATGGTCTTGCAACAACAGTACAGAGAGAAAGGTTTCAAGAAGTACTCTGAGCTGATTTCTCTTCTCCTTGTGACTGAGCGAAACAATGACTTGCTCATGAGAAATCACGAAAATCGACCCACTGGGTCTAAACCATTGCCTGAAGTGGATGAGGTGTATTCCCATTATGCTAAGCGTGGAAAAGGCCGTGACTCTATTCGTAGTCATGGTCGTGGTCATGGTCGTAGCCGTGGCCGTGGCCGTAGACAAAGAAGAAATTTTCCTGGTGTTAATCAACCCCCAAAGAAAAATAACCACCAAAAGTGGAAAGGGAAAGATGAGAAGCCAAAGGCAA